ATAGCGTTGTATTTTAAGGAGAAGTATACAATCAAGTGTAATCGGCCCTTATCGTTATATTGAAAGAGTACTCTGCCTGCAGCCTAATCGGAAATATTTATCTTAATAATTATATAGCAATAATGATTAAATATTGTAAGAACTGGAATAAAGATAAAAGCATACTTCAGATTTTCAAAGGTATTCTTTTAATTAATAATCCAATTCCATATATTCTTTTTTTTCAATAAATGGTTTAAAGGTTTTGTGATTTTAGAAAAATTGCGAATGAAGTATTAATAAAAATTAATAAATTCTAGAAAATGTTAAAGATCTTTTAGTTTAATTAATAACTTTTATTCAAGAATAATTTTAACCTTATCAGGGTTCATCTTGATATCACCAGAAGTAATAATTAGACTGAAATATTTCGTTTTCCTTGTTTTGAATTTGTATTTATCAATATCAATTTGTAATCCAATATTAATAAGTCTTTAAACAACTTTGCGAACTTGTTTTTGATAATTTGTAACATTCTCAGAGTAAATCAAGATATTGTTTAGGTATACTGTACAATTTTTATTCAGAAGATCAAAAAAAACATAATTGATATAGTTCTGAAACGAGGCAGAAGTATTGCAAAAGCCAAAAGGCATTACCAGGGATTCGAATAAGCTGAAACAAGTTATAAAAGCAGTTTTCTATTTGTGACCTTCCGCAATTTATAGTTTATTGAATATAACGATAATATCCAATTTGATATAAACTTTAGTATAATATAAGGTATTAAAGATTTCTTTAATTAATAACAGCAAATAACGATTCTTAATAATAATATTATTCAATTTATGATAGTCCTAGCAAATTCGAATACTCCTTTTGGGCTTTGCAATTAGAAAGAGTAGAACAACCAATCGGAAGTAGGATTTGCAAATGAATCCTTTATTTAGATTATCATCGAGCTATTTGCAAACGACTTGAAGCTTGGCTGGAGATATTGGGCGATCTTTATTGTACAGGAACTCTTTGCCTAATATAATTTCAATCTTGTAATTCTAAGAGTATTGTAGTGGGAGTTTGTTAGTGAGAGAGAGTAAGAATCTAGCAAATAGATTGCGAAGCTAGGGTAGTAGCTTATTCTGAATTTCTATTGTAGATAGTACAGATCAATCAGTCTTTTCCATAAACTTCTTGATATTGTTTTCTATAATATTGCAATATAGTTAAATAGAATCGTTTGTTATTATATAATGTAACTCGCAAACTCTATCTAATTTATTCCAAATTATTTTTGTAATATAAACTTCCTAATCTTTACAGAATTGAACAAAACTATTAGCTATAAGGAACTTTATATCGTTTATTTTCTATTAGATATTTCATAAGATATTAATCGATTTTTCAAAAGGCTTCTATAGTAATAGGGGATTCAATAAGAATAAAACATTTTGGTTTCATGACAGTCTTTTGTATATCCTAAAGCCTACAATGATTTATATTGGAACTAATTTCAGGATCGGCCGGTTTGGTATCATTTTGGCATAAATCTCTGTTTTTCCGTTAATTCGATAAATATAACAGCAATTTGAGTTAAATGGTATTGGATTAGCAAGATTTATATTATAAAGGTTTCTATTAATATTCTTCTCCACAACTGAAATCAAAGGATTATATTCCAAAAGTATCGACTGGTTTTAGAATGAGAAAAAGGGAGTCTAAAGACTTTTATCGATAATTTCTTTAGTAAAAGCACAATATAGGGTTGAGATAGATTTCTTCGAAGTAGACTTCAAAATAGATTTTCTAACAAATATATATAATATTGGATTGAGCATTGTATTTACTGAGGTCAGCATATTATTACAATCGGGGATGATAGTTGTAGTAGAGTTAATTGAGCAGCAATATCTGAAGTAATATATAAATATAAACTTAAGAGTCATTATTGCCTAATTAATGATAGGGTTATGGTATTGAAGCTATGGAAGACCGAGGATCATAGGGTCCGTATCGGAAAGATTGGTAATATAGAATAAGCCAATTTCTTTATAATTATTAATCCATAGATCTAACAATATATATTGAGATAGGATATTAGAAGTTCTTTTGTTTATAAATAATAGATTACAGATAGTAGGAAAAGGATGTATAGGGATACCAAGCTTGAATATAAAGGTTCTATCTATAAACCCATATCCCGCAGCTCCATTATCTATTAAACCAATAAGTAGAATAATTATATTAAATACAAGGAAATTTCTATTGAGATTTTAAGAAATTTGCTATTCATTATTCTAAAATACAAAGGATCCCTAAACATAACCAATCTCTTAATCTACAAAAACAAACTTTTTATAAAAAACCTTGATTCGCAACTATAAATCGAGATTAGTCTTTTAATATACTTGACTAGGAAATTGAATTTCCGCTATTATCCGAATATATAAAGTCTTTAACGAATCCGCCCAGATCTCTATTATTAATAAAAACTGGAAAGGCATATCGAAATAGTATTGTAGTAATTGAAAAACAATTAGTAGATAGGAATATATTCTAATAAATAAGGTTATAAGCGTTATAATAGGGTTCGGGATTGTAATAATAATCGATAATAGGAAAACAATAAATATTCAGAATATATTGATTTATAGTAGGAGAACAATCAAGATATTGTATAATTCCTGAGTTAATATTATATTTTGTATTGTTACATTGCTTTTCTTCGTAGTTGAATTTGATATAACCAAGCTTTTTGTAATAAAAATAAAGATCAAGATTTAGATATTATTCTTTATTGTAATATAATAAGGGTCGCTAGTCTTAACAAGCAGTATTCAGTTATATAGAATTTTTAAAAAGATTAGGTGTAAATATTACAATAATAATAACAAACTTCTTTTTATTGGGTTTTTTCTAATTATTAAAGTTGATGTTTTGATTTTTGTATTGATTATCAAAATGAATCTTCTCCTTTAAGTTATTATAAATATCTTATTATCAAACTACTCACATATTAATATTAATAGCAAAAGTTTATTAGAGTAATTAACTAAAATATTAATTAATTCTTATAAAACTTTAAGTTTAAAATCAATAACTTGTTATTCAATAATTTTCTTACATTTGATAACAAGTTACTTGAATTTGGTAATAAAGTTACCAAATAAGGTCTTCTTCATTTTACATTTATTATAATCCATAAAAACTTTACATAAAAAATCTAGAATCTGGTATTACTTGTTTAATTCATGCCAAATATCTGTTACAGTATACTATCCAGAAGGCCAAAGATCAGAATTATACATATTGTCTATAATTATATCAAAATATATCTGATTATTTGTATAAATAGAGCCAGAAAGTAGATTAGTAAGAAATATGATTTTCTAAAACTTTAATTCATTTTCGTAATTACAATTAAATAGTGATTAACTATATTACAAAAAGTTTGTATACTAATCTTAACACTTTGCGATATCTTATTTATTATCATTAAACTTTTCAAAAGCAACAAAATACTTGCAATGAAATAAAGCTTGTAAATTATTATGAATAGTAATTTTCAATATCTCAATTGTATCTTTCAATTCAATAATCTTTAATTGAGTATTAATAGCTTAAATCTAAATAATAATAGTTTAAACTTGTAATAAGTTTGTAATCGATTTGATTAATTCAAATATAGCTTGAATGATAACGAAATATACAGTATTTGGATTATTGAATAGATCTATAAAAAAAAAGATATCGATTTCAACAGAATTGAAAATATAGTTTAAGAAAAGGAATTATAAAGATAAACTAAATATAAGTATTTCTAGTATAGATATTTGTTTATTTATCTTTAGTATTTTTTGAGATTCAAAATATCAGTAGTAGGATATATAATAGATTAATAATAAATATGATCAGTATAATTGGAATAAGGTATTAATGAAACTTTGGAAATAAAATAAGAAATAAAGTTGTAATAACTTATTTGAAGATAATATAAATTGTTAAGATATAGATAAAGACTTATATTATATTATAAGGATAGAAGAGTTATAGAAGAGTGAAGCCCTATTTATAGGAAATAGGGCGCGCTAGTATACTATGCCTGAGGCACGAAGGCAACTACAGATCATGTAGTTGGCGCCGTAACAACCGCCAACCATTAACCATTTTTGGTTTCATACTGTTTGCGTGTTCTGGGGAGATTCGTCTATCGATTTCATCTATCTCGCATTGCATATGTACAATTGAGTTGGTGCACTACGTATGTACGGTACAGTACAATGACTACTTTTCATGGGCCAGAGATATAAACCTCCACTTTGGCATAATCTTGGAAAGTCTATCGATAAGCTAAAAGTCCCAAAGCAAGGCCAAGTGTGGGGGGGAAGAACGAATCATGATTTCATGCCTCATCTGAGCCTGGTTATCTACTTGTACTTATGTCCCATCGGTAGTTGGTTTCTTTTAACTTTCCCCTTATCCAGTTAGCGACACGCTAAGTGAAAAAGACATGATATGATAAAAGTCTATTCCTGGCAATTATCACATCAATCTTCGGGTTTGAAAATGTCAATCATGAGATTTCAAATCTAGGAATTATCAATCCTGAATGACGTTTGGAAAAGTATACTGTAACTTAGTCAACATAATCTAGAAGTAGATTCAATAAGTACAATTTAGAGTCTTTGCAGAACTTCCAAGGAGCGATGACTACTATTAGCCCGGAAATCCTGCACATGATATAAAATGGTCTTTGGCTTCCGCTGAAAATCCTCATAGGCCCCTGATAGAAACCTCATAAATCCTCAGTATCGAACATAATTCGAAAGCATGACTGCAAGACACACCCCAGTGCCATCGGTCGGATCTTTAAGTCCAACCTTCTCGTCCACCCTCCTCGTCCGTCCACAGTATCGACAGAGAAGAGTCTTTCAGAGGTTTATGCCGACTTTCACAAAGAGTTCCATCAATTGTTAATCCGGAATAGGGAACTAAGCGATGCTAATCTCAAATTCAAAAGTGATATGTCGTATGTTCCCATTGCCGTCGAAAAGTGTCACATCGCGCTAACATCAGATAGCAATCATGAAAGAGTTCATGGAGCCACGCCCTATTCTTCCTCTGGATCTTCCGTAACCCTTACCGGCTCTGCATCCTCAACATCAAGTATCGTACCATCTTCCTCGGCCCGAGATAAATTGCAAGAAATAGCATCACTGCTTCCCGCTAGTGATGAGCCCTTTTTCGAACAATTTTCAAGCATCAAAAAATTTATGGAAGGGTTTATAACAGTATGAAATGCGTACGCAGAGAGAAACAAAAAATCTTTTCTTTGTAGTAAGACTCAAGCAGGCTTTGGAAGATGCAAAGTTTGCTTCTGAAAAGTTTATCGCAACAAAAACAATTGTACATGATATGTACCACGATGAGTTGGACCTGAAAACATTGTTCGACAAGTATGCCAGCGACATGAGAAATGGAAACGGAGATTGTGAGATTCCAGAATTGGACCTCGGACAAAGATTCCATTTAGCGGTTGTCTTCGGCCATAGATTTGGATTTGGGGCATGCTATTAGTTCTCGTCTCCTACCCACAGCCATTGAGTTCGAAATCATCTAAGCAAACGACGGATACACGGTAGAGATGAAGCAAATAGGAAAGATACAGTGGATTAGAGATCGCGATGAATGGTATGGACATAGGTGGAGGTAATAAAAATATATAATGTATAATCATAATATAATTGTATCATTCTATGGTATTCTACCCTTCTATAACAGTTCAAGTTAGCCAATGATTGAATCTTGTGAATAATCGGAATCTTGGTTGAAAATTACCCTCTAAATTGTACAAGCTCATCTTGAACACCTTCAGATAAGCATTGATGTGAAACATGCCATATGCATTCGGTGAAGTGATGGAGAAAGACTGTTTTTGAGATTCGTAGAATGATATATCGATTCAAAAAGCGTCTCTGAAATTCACTCAGGCTTCTCAGTGTTTGTGGGGCTATCTTTCGTTTCCTCCGTTTTTGTGGCAAGCGCCACTTTATTCCCTTCTGACTTGGACTTTGTGGGTGTTATAGCATCTTCCTTTTCCACAATCACACACTCTTCTTCTTCAGCTTTCCTCTCCTCTGCTTCCAGATGCTTCGAGTAATCTTTCCAAAGCTGTTCTACCGGCCTTCCACAAAGTTCAGTCCAGAATCGTTTCTCCTCGTATCGCTCAACTCTCAACTTTTCATTCACCCTTCTTACTGTACCTTTACCGAATCTCTGTTCCAGATATTCAAGAAAATAGCCGGTGTGTTGGTAACCTGCATCCCATTTCCCGGTAGCCTCTCTTTTCCAATGAGGTGGACTCAAATTGGCGTTCAATCGAACCCAATCTGCAATTCCTTCAACCAAGCCACCAGGGCAAGTGTTGAATCCATTGTATTGATAGCAATGTACCATTTCATGAGTCAACACACCCATGATCTCATGCTTCTTTCGATCCGGCTTAATTGATTCGTGCTGTATGTAATCTAGGGATAAATGTATCTCCTTGTGGTCATTGTCAAGGTCGCTACCTGTTGTATATGCCACACCTTCCATGGATCGGAGTATCAGGGTCACCGATCGAGTTGGAGTCGGAGTTGTGGTAGGACAATCAGGAGACTCATATAGTAGCGTGAGAACGCTTTGAACTGCTGTCTGTAGAGCCTCGTTCGCTATAACGGCGGTCAAGAAAGTATGCGATCCTGCATGATTGAGATCCCGCAACTCGAGGCGTAACTTGGGTAGAGGAAATTTGATAGACGGATTGGAACTGTCATCTTTATTAAGCTTTGAAGCCGGCTTTTCTTTCGAAGGAGGCATCGGTATAGGAGTTGGAGCCGGTGAGGTGCTGGAGAATTGAGGCATGAATACAGGTGGAGGAACCGGGCTGGTTGCGGGGGAAGTGGGCATTATGCGGGTGATATGTAGGGTTCAAAGGTTCAAAGGATAAGGTTTAGGACAAGGTCACTCCTTGCAAGGATCCTGTGTTGCATTGGTCTTCTTATGCGGAATTGCAATAATGAAGGTTGAATAGGTGCTGGGTGATGTCGGTAATGGAGTGAGTGATGAGTGCCGTGTTTAGTCTCCTAGCTTGACCTTGTTGATGGAGCAGAGGGATGAGCTTCTTTCAAGTTGAGGACTCAGATGCGGTAAGGAGACAGGCTGTAGATGTTTGTTGATTGATATATTGCCAAATGAGAATGGCTGAAAGGGCTTTCTTTGCTTCTTGAATAGGAATCAATATTGAGATGATAGGTTCCAAGGTTGTCAACAAGAGTATTTCCATGTCCAATGAGAGGTATAGAAATGTTCATGTCTCTTACCAATCTGACTGGCTTATCTCCTCTTGCTGGGGTCTGATCGTATTTATAATAATGGAAGCTCTGAGACTAGTCCGTGCTCCCCCTGCCCGGGCAACCATAATTTGTTTTGACGCGACAGATTTATCTCCAAAGGGAATTTTGAGAGTTACATACCAACGTACAGCATCATCGTAAGTGTCTCCAAATTTCATAGTTTCTTAATGTGAATATTGTGCTACATCATCATCTCTTCAATAACCGAATGCCATACTGTGCATAACCTCCTTTATTCTCAAAATCACTGACAGCACATCTCATCTACAGATAGGCACATATCCTGATTTGATATTTACGGTTTCTTCAACTTCACCCCACCTCAATCATGGGTGAAAAGATCACCGAAGATCAAGTAGCAAATTTGCTGGCCATACTTCGAACAGATGCTTTGATAGATTCGAAGGTCAATCAGATCAACAACATCAAATCCAGTATCAAACAACATAACGTTCCAGAACCATGCATACTTTCACTATTCGAAGCCTTGCGCATAGCAATGTCGTCGCAGCATGCCGCACTAGTCAACGCTGGGTTCTCTACCCTCAATCATCTCCTCACCAGATTGTCACGCCAGGAACCAAAATATATTGTCAAGGAAGCTGCCCGAACTCTGCCAATGATAAATGATAAGATGGGCGATCAGAGGGAGAAATATCGACAACTTGCTGCGCAATGTCTTACAACGTTCTGGAAAAATGCGCCGATGGATGTGGAAAGAATTGTGAAGAACGCAGGACTGATAGGAAAGAACTCGAGGATGAAAGAAAATTCAATGAATTGGATTGTACAGGTAAACAGATGCATTTTGGCGCGGGGTTGTTTACACTTTCTAACTATCGTATCAAATAGATGCACCAAGAGCATGGGATGGCATTCAAAAGTTTTGTAACTACACTAATGGAGCTACTCGAAGATGCCGATGGCATGGTAAGAGATACTGCGAGAAACACTGTCATCACCTTATTCCAGTAAGTCTCTTTCCATCGGCCATATTACTTTCATATTCTAATTGCCACAGAAATGCCCCCAATGGAGCCAAATCCGATCTCAAGAAGCAGTTGAAGAACTTCAACGTTCGACCAGCGATCGTATCAGCTATCACGAGTCAACTTATACAAGGAGGAGCCCCAGTAGTTGTGGAACCGGAAAGAACTGAAGTCCCTATGCGAAACCCTTTAGCTAGTAGTGCATCTGCGATGAACGTCTCAAGACCAGCAACACCAGAAGTCAGAGTTGAGCAAGTAGACCCTGCATATGTGAATACACAAAGGGAATTGGAGGAAACTTTTCAAGAAATGCATCAATGGTTTCAAGACAAGGAGTCTGAAGCAAATTGGTTTAAGAGAGAACAAAGTTGTACAAAGTTACGAAGATTGAACGCCGGAAACGCCCCAAGCGACTATCATGATGCTTTCCTTGCTGGTATCAAAAGCCTTCTGGATGGTATCTTGAAAGCTGTTAATTCATTGAGAACTAGTCTTTCAAAAGAAGGGTGTAGTGTCGTTCAAGAAATTGCTCGAACTGCTGGGCCTGGACTGGATCCTATGGTCGAAATTCTTCTACAAAACCTTATCAAACTCTGTGGTGGCACTAAAAAAATTAGTTCGCAGAACGGAAATTTGACCGTTGATATTATTATCAGCGGCGTTACCTATAATCATCGGATCATGCAGCATATCTGGCTCGCATGCCAGGACAAGAATGTTCAGCCTAGAACATATGCCACAGGCTGGCTCAAAACATTGCTTAAGAAGGAGGCGCAACACAAAAGTCACGTTGAACACAGCGGAGGCTTGGAACTGATTGAAAAATGTATAAAGAAAGGTCTAGCCGATGCCAATCCTGGTGTTCGCGAGAATATGAGATCGACCTATTGGACTTTTGCTCAGATATGGCCAGCAAGGGCTGAGTTGTAAGTGTATAAGCGTTTCTTCGCTTTCTCAATGATACTAACGAGTTTTAGGATAATCGAAGATCTAGAACCGACTCAGAGGAGACTACTAGAGAATTCTCCAGACAATCCCAATGCACCAAAGAAGGCAGCGGCAGTCAGCTCCGCGAGACCCGGCCTTGGTTTCTCCAAGAGCACTACTGGACCTCCTAGACCATCTTTGAGGGAGACTATGTTAGCGCAGAAAAAGGCACAAATGGCCACCAAGACTATTCCTACTCGTCCTGGTTCTGCGATGTCAACATTTTCTCCAACAAGGACCGTGCCAACCGCATCAGGTAAACAATCGTCTTCAGAAGTAGCTCCCACAAGACCTCATCTAGAGGCTACTGGATCTCGTGGCGGTCTTTCTGTTGCACCCATGCGACCAAGTAAATCCAAGAGACCAGAACTTGCTGCTAGACCTGCAACTGCCGGGCCGTATTCTGTAAGAAGAACTAATCAAGCCTCCAGCGAAGCAAATGCCAGCCCTTCATCCTCTACATCCGCACGACCACCAAGATCTAAAACTCCCGTTGCTACCAGCTCTCCCCAGGCTAGAAGAGCTCCAATTCCGAGACCCAACACAAGCCATTCTAGTCATCCCACGCAATCTCATCATCCAACCCAATCTACTTACACAAGCCCTGCAGCAAAAAGTACATCTGGGCGAGTCGCAACTGCTTCTCCTAGACTTGCTGCTTCTCCTCACATCAGTAGTCCTGTTAGGACAAGAACCAAATCGGTACCTGGATTACCCGGACCTGGGTCTAGTCCTTCAAGAGCAGATGAAGATTTTACAATGGTTGTTCCCACCATTACAGGATTAGAACGGATCAAATCTGAGAAACTCCCCCAGGTCTTTGACCCTTCTGAGGTGGAAGATATCAAAGCTCCTGTCAATCAGCCAATGAAGGTTTATGAAGACCCATTCTCAAGCACAGATGACACCACTATCCCAGGACCTACAGTTCCTCAATCCGTTTTAGAAGAAGTACCTGTCAATGAAGATGCTATGAACCTGTCAAGAAATGGCATTAGCGAATTTGATGGTGAAGGAGCTAAGAACCCGCCAATGTCCCCGGATAAACTCAAACAAAGCACAAAATTACTCGATAGTGGTATTTCCAAGATCAGAGCCAAATCTCTAGACGTCCACGGTTTCCGAAAACTTCAAGCCATGATCAGAGATAACAAAGCCGTATGGGGAGAAGGCAGATTCCCCGCCCTCTTGTTAGGACTTTTTGAATATCTTGAAGAACCATTAACAAATCTCTCGCCCGCAAAAGTTCAGGATGTCAAAGCACAAATACTAACCACAGTTAAACTCTTGTACAAAAATTACCGAGAGCACTTCAGACCACATATCGCGAAAGGCTTCCATTCTATTCTTGTAACTAGATCCTGCTACGATGCACGCGCCCATATTGTCAGTGGCCTCGAACTTCTCGCCGATGAGCTTGTTACACTTGCCAATCCCAAAGAGACCATCACGACCATTCTCAACTCCCTCTCCAACGAAGAAATGACATTGGAAGGATGCCGAAAATTTAGTATGGGATTACATATACTCAAGCAGACTTTAGATATCAAATCAGAAGTTGAGTTGGAAGATGCAGAAATTGATAGCATCCTGGAATTGGCAGCGAAGTGTCTTGAGAGCAAGGAGAGCGGAGTGAGACTGGATGCTGTGGTACTCTGTGTGAGTACGCATGCAAGAATCGGAGAAGCAAGATTCTGGAGTGGAATTGGTGGGAGAGTGAGTGGTGATCCAAAGAGCTTGATCACGTACTATATTGTCAAGAGGCAGAGGGAGTTGGAGGTAGGAAACTGACGGTGTGGAGGGTGACATGGAACGAAGGTCAGTGGCATAAGCTAATGTTTCATTTGGGTGAACGAAGGGAATCATGAGTAAGATCGTTGTACAATACGAAAGTCTTTTGTTTTGACTGGATATTTTTGGGATATTTTCTGGGTGGTGCGATGGATTCTATGGTGTGCAGCGAGGGAAAATGGAAGGGCGATACAAGGCGTTGTGCAGTGCACGTTACATATCAACTTTCTGGTTATTGGCAGAGGCGTAAGAGTTTGAGTCGTAGTCATAGTCATAGTACATTTATATGTTATAATCTTGTCATTTTTGTGCGCTCTCATGGCTAGCTTTCTTTGCGCATTTTGAGTGATGATCATGGATGATCTAATGACGGCTTCTATGTTTGCTAATTGTATATTCGGTTCCACCTACTTATTGCATCGCTGCTTGAATGTAGGTACTCGCTATACAGAGATCCTGTAACATTTCGAGTTCAGATCCGTATAGTTGGTTGATCAATATCTCCTTGCACATTACGAGTATGGAGTTTACAACCCCGGGTTCGCTAGGCGGGGTTCTTTGATCTTCTAATTTTCAATTTCCAAGAGCGTTATACTGGTGGAGTATGCTATGAGATAGATTGGTGGAAAGTGTATTAAAGGGTAGAAATCCAGCCGGGGATGGTTTTGTATAGCGAGAATCGAGATTTTGATTTTTCTTTTATGGAGAAGACTTGGGTATTGAGTTGATGGGGTTGATTGGTTGGCTGGTTGGCTGGTTGGGGGTTGAGAATGTAGATGTGGATGTG